GATCATGACCTGAGCTGAAGGCAGAGGCTTTAACCACTGAGCCACCCAGGCGCCCCTGAACATCAATTTTCTAATGAATAAGAGTACTTGCCTCAAGGAGTTCTTGTGAGATTTCAGTGAGTGAATACATGAAAAATTTCATAGTATAGAGCCTAGAACATAGAAAGAACTAATTGAAGTATTAAAATTTTACATGTAACATGCATGTTTTACACATAAACATGTATATTTTATGTATACATACATATTTATCTTATACCAGGTATTATTTCAGTGTGTGATACATCAATAAACAAAAGAGACAAAATTTTTGTTTTTCTGGAGCCTCAAATTTAATACAGACATTAGATATTAAATACTGGATATTATATATAAATATAAGAAATAAATGCGATATAATTTTAAGTCTGGTTGTATAAGATAATAATGACTACGGGAGGAAAACAGCAGGGTTAGGTGGGTGGAACAGCAGAACGAGTTAGGTCTCTTTTTTTTTTTTTAAAGGTTTTATTTATTTATTTGACAGAGATCACAAGTAGGCAGAGAGGCAGGCAGAGAGAGAGGGAGAAGGAAGCTCAGGCTCCCTGCTGAGCTGAGAGCCCCATGTGGGACTCGATCCCAGGACCCTGAGATCATGACCTGAGCCGAAGGCAGTGGCTTAAACCCTCTGAGCCACCCAGGCGCCCTGAGTTAGGTCTCTTTAAGGAGAAAATATTTCAGTAAAAATTTAAAGAGATGGAGTTATTCATACATGTATCTAGGGGGAAGAACACTTCAGGCAGAAGAAACAATTGTATCAAGCCTGAGGCAGAAATATGATTGACTTGGAAAGGAGTGGCAAGAGAACCAGTGTGGCTAGCTCAAGTTGGGGAGACTAATAGAAGAGGAGGTAGGGGGAAGCTCATGTAAATGTCACCTAACAACAGTCATAATTCCATCAAATCTGTTAAGATGTCACTTCTTCAGAGTAGTCTCACAGACTTCCTAGTCAAGGATATTTCCCCTCATTACGTGCACTTAAACTTTTTTTAAATTATGTAATATAACAAACATTAACAAAAGTACACAAAATACAGGTGCATGCACATTGATTCATTACCCCTCTCTAGGTCAAATATTAGAATGTTGGGAGTACCTTAGAAACCCTTTGAACCTTTCTCCATCATCCACCTCTAAAGTAACCGCCATCTTAAGTTTTAACAGTACATTTTGTTTGGCATGTGTTTGATACTTATTCACATGAAATCACCCAGTACCTATTCTCTTCTATTTTCTTTCTTTCCTCAGACATCTGTATTGCTGCAGGGGGCTATTTGCTTTTTTATTATTATTGTTATATATTGTTCTATATATCCATCCTACCATTGACATCATTTGCATTCATAGTTTTCACTTATAATAATTAATGGTTCTATGGAGCTTTGTACGCATATTGTTTACTTTGGCATTTGTTTTTGTGATAATTTTTTGCATCTATCACTTAACTAATCTAATAACTCCATGAAGACAAAGATATTTTTTGTCTTTTCTTTTTGTATCTCCTAGAGTAGCTTCTGGCATGCAGTAGAGAGCATTTAATATTTTTAATTAATTCACTAGTTGATTGATTGATTAATTAATTAAACAAATGTGAGAGAATTGTTTCCAGTATTTCAGTTTGAAGCTTTGAAGTATTTTTTGATAGAAACATTTCTAAAGTGCTCAGAATTTATAATTTCTTATTGTTTTAATTTTTAAAAAAATTTTTAATCTCTTTTATTTTATTTCTGTATTTTAAATAGGCTCCACACCCAACGTGGGGCTTGAATTCATGACCAGGAGATCAGGAGTCACATGTTCTTCTCACTGAGAAGGTGCCCAGCCAGGAGCTCCTCTAATTCTTTTATTAGTTTTGTTCTGTATGTATGAGGGAGTGTGTCTCTGTGTATAGTTGCTAACCTAAAAAAACAATATAGACAATATTTCTGAAGAATAAACATGTCCCAAGATTTATAAAACAAATTGTCTAGTATTTTAAGATTAAATACTCCTATTATTCAAGGAGTTCAAATATATTTGGAACATAATCCATTTGTGAGCTTGGTTTTGCCGGTACCATTACTAGTAGTAATAGTTCTTAAAATTATCTCATCCTTGGAAAAGCTGAAGATAGGTTGTTTTCCTCCTCACAGGATTCTTAATACTTTTTTGATCCCTAACACAATAAAATGGCAGAACTATAAGCCAGAAAAAAAAATCTCCTTCTCCCAAATGGAAAAATATTACACCGCTTTCTTCAGTTATCTGACACTTAGGAAACTGTGAGAATATAAATAATGATGTAAGAATTTTTGGTTCTTGATAAAACTACCTACTGTGAAGAAATGAATAAGGGTGAATTGTCTTCCTTTATTTCCTTCAAAAGAAAGAAAAATCAAAATCTTATGTAACCTGTAAAATTACACTGGTCTCACAAAATATATGGAAGATGTTAAGTTTAGTAGCATTTTAATAATACTCTGTTCTTTTCTTACCAAACTTTTTCTTTCTTGCAAGTTTTTGAATTCTTAAAGTAAATCTTTTGTTAATAAAACTGACAATTTAATACATATTTAAATACCTCATTCCCATAAAAGTTACAATGAAAACAATTTGTTTCACTTTGGAAACTAAAATTATTAAACTCTAACCATCTAGAGTACACGTCTATATATCATCAACATGTTTAAATTGGTATAGTACATTACATTTATTGCTTTTTCATAGTTACAATTATTTTTGGTATAAGCATTTAGGAATACACTTAATGAGAACCAATTATTATCACTAATTTAGTTTTAGATGTTCTCGTGCTACTGTACTGCAGGCATGTAGAAGTTATATAGTTGCCAGATGCCAGAAACAAAGGTTTCATATAACTATGACAGAAAGAGAAAGAATGATTTGTGTGAAAATTTACTGCCTGGTGAGTTCATTTCCCTTTTTCCCTTTTCCCCATCCAGAGCCGAATTCGTAGAATGTGGAATGACACGGTCCGAAAGCAGTCAGAGTCTTCCTTCATTACTGGAGATATAAACAGTTCAGCGTCACTCAACAGAGGTAATTAGAAATGATTTTTCATATTTATTACTTTGGTGATTACTTTAAGAAGTTCTTAAATGCATTGCTTTTTTTGCAACTTCTGGACCTTGTTCCATGTGATAGGAATATCATAAGGTTATAAAACTTGGTTGACTGTAGCAATGTGTTCCATTATTCATAAGCCTTTTTTTTTTTTTCCAATTCCGAGTTTTCAGGAAATCTTTTCTGAAAAAAGTTAGAAAACGAGAACTTTCTTTTTCTAGTCATCTGCCACTGTAATAAACTGGTGAGCTGTCAGGCCTCATTGGAAGCAGTGAAAATGGGCAATTACGTGGTTATATACTCTGCTAAGTATCATAGAGTTGCACATTGTCCCAGGCATAGAGCAATTTCGTAGTCTTTGTGAAAGTAAAAATATACTGTCTAATACGTACTTGAGGCACCCTGTATATTTGGGGTAAAAATCACATCTAATCTTAGTATCTACAGAACTTATCCAGCATATTTAAAGATCTAGGAGGAAAAAGGATATATATACATATATATTATGATTTTTGTGTGTTTATGTGCTTCTGGTTATCAAGTTCCCAGGGCATCATTTCAATTTTTAAAATGAAGTTCCTTTAATCTACTGTTTTGTTTGTGGTTAATTTTTTTTTTTTTAATTCTTCTGTTTCTCTTTCTCCTTCCTACCCTCCACTTCCCTCCCTCTTTTTTAGTGTATGTGTGTGGGGTGTTGAGGGGGGAGTGGGGAAATTAGAATTAGGTTGATTACAGTAAAAATGGGTAGATACTATATTTGTATAGAGTTAGGGTACCCTAGAGATGTTGCTGAGGAATACTTACGATATCATTTTATCTGTAAAGATGATGTTTGCATGAGCTTATTCCAATCACACTGCTAAGAAAGATATTTTTGATTCATATATTCAGTAGATATTTTTATGATCAACATTGTTTTTTTTCCTATCCCCAAACTAAGATTATTAGTTCCACTTAAACCTGTTTCTGTCAGCTTTTTATTACATTAAATACTACTTAAAATAAATAATTTAACAATCACAGCTTATGATTCAGAAAAATTCAGATGCTGGTGCTCTTAATTACTTTTACTCAAGTGATTTGCATCTTATTTACATAAAACAAATTAGGACAGATAGTGTCCAAGCTGAATTTGATATAGGGACCCATGTTACATATAATCTTAATTGATTTTCATGTTATTTGGGACAGTGATATAATAACTATAACCGAGTGATAATATTAAATTTCCTATATCACTTTTGCCCAATATAGGAACAGTGAGTGCAAATATTCCTCCAAATATGAAGAAAATACTTCAAAACACCCACATTTTTATATTTTGTTTCAGTATCAGTCTTTTTATTTTCTAGATTTTTATTTACATATGACCATTGAAATATCCTTCTCTTTTTCAAGTTTAGTTTGAATGGTTAGTCTGTCAAAATTTTTTTAAATATGAATACTCTAACTTTGGACATACTTTCCTAGTCATTGAGAACGAATTACTTAAAAATGCCTCCAAAGTTCAGGAACTTGTTTGCTTTCATAGTGACAGATTTTGTTCATTGTCTAATCCCACAGATGGAAAGTTTACAGTATGTTCCTAGATAGAAAACTACCCTTATGAATAAGATTTATTATTAGGAGTATATCATATCTAATAAACACAGCAACTATAGAACAATTGTTGCTTAAAGAAAAGATGAGATCATGTGATTTTAATGATGCACTGTTTATTAGCCTACTGTGAAGATAGTTAAAATATGTAAAATTATTATTCCTTAAAACATGTAAAATTATTATGTTGTCTAGCATTATGATGTAAATTTATGTGAAGATTGTAAGGTATGTGATTTTACTAAAAACTGTTTTAAATGGACACATTTTTGTGACCTTGATTTTGAGGTCAATCACATGTAACATCGCAGTGCCCTTTTTAGTTCCTTCTCAAGAATTTCATCAACTTGGAATATGTGATATGTGGATGACTGGTCAATTTGAAATATATTTAAAGAAAATAATAATATTTATATTGACTGATCATCTGTTTAAATCTGGTTTTCAAGCCTTTAGTTTTGAAAGTATTTCTTAAAGTTACTCTTGAAGAAGGGTATAAAATTTCTTGACATCCAATAAGTTACTCTAATGTCGACTTTGGGGAGGGGGTTAAATTAAATTTGTGATTTGAAGTGTGTCCAGCAGTGATCTTTTCCTTTAGGATAGGGATTCTTCCTTTCACTCAGTGACTTTAATGGTGGTAGACATCACAGTGATCTTCTTGATTTCCCATATTAATTCCCTGTTCCCCCAAGTCAGAAACTCCTCATTTTATTCTCATCTCATTAGTTTTCATCTCAGATGTGTGGAGTACTTTAAAAATTTATTTCTTCATATTATATCTCTGAAGATAGTCTTTAACCTCCTTCTTTAATCTTGTCTTATTTCCCAGGGTCCTATCTTCCCTGCATTCAGGCGTGTGTATCATATTTAGGTAGGTGAAATCCAAGATTCACCTTTCCGGATAAACACTTCAGTCACCTTGGCAACATAATTATTCACCTCTGTTTGGTCGAAAGACTGTATTCCCTGTTATTAAAATAAAAATTCTAGGCACTACATCTTTGCATCTTCATATATTCTAACTTCCCATTCACTCTGTTTCTCACAGCTAGCAATTTTTTTGTTCATTTAAACCCCATTTTCCTTTCTCTCTAAGATCTATTAAATCTCTTATTTTTGTCTTTAGTTTTGGCCTTCAAAAACTATAAGAAGTTGTCTAAAAATTAGTCTTAAGTCTACTTTAGGTTTTCTTTCCTATTCATACCACCGCTTAGTTCATCAAAAGAATAATTATTTTACAATTTTGTATGTCTTAACATCTATTCTTCCAAACAAAAATTCATCATTCTCATCTTTGGGATCCATTTAGAAGAAAGCATCTACCATACAGTACAGAACTCCTTCTCAATGGTTTTTATTTTTTCAAACCATCTTTAATATTCTATTCTAGAACCAACTTGTTACAACCTATGTATCAGATTACCTATCTAGATTTCCCAGTGTGGCAAACTTGATTACTGTTGGGATTTTATTCCTTGGAATCACGCAAAACCTTGGAAGATTTATGGATAATTATTAATTCATGTAATCATTCTTATATATTCTCTTTGGGATTTTGTTATTTGGTCACCTCATCTCTTTAAAATGTTCCATTACACATTCCATTCCATTTGTCCTTTGAATATCTATATTCGTGAAGATGTTTTCCAAATGTTCCCTATACATTGTAAGATAATTTTTCCCCTTCTGACTTATTTACTACAACGCTACTCACTCAAGTAAATTAAGAATTCTTTGAGGCCAGTACCCGAGGAGTATGATCACGTTAACTTCCCTGATACCACTTTCATAACCAGAAGGAGTTTTTCAAGAGCATTAATGTTATAGTCAATTATAGGAAGTTATAAGGAGGATTAACTCTTATCCAAACTCAAGTTTTTACAACCCCCACAGGAGGGTTTATTCATTGGACCATTTAAATATTTACTATTTGCACATAACTTGAAGTCAGTCCTCAATTCCCCCAAGCTTCTCCCAGATTTTTAGAAACTTTACCCAAATTTCTAGTAGCTCTAACTTCCCAGTAGTGGTAGGAAAAATTTGCAGCTAACATAATCTTTACCACTCTTATCTCTAACTCACAACCTCTGCTGACCAAACCTTATCCTGAACAATTTAGATTAACAATGGCTCTAAAACTTGCATTTGATCCCAAAGTGAAGCATTTGCTGAGAAATTTCTCTGGTAGTTCAGTTAATGGTTAAACATTTCTGTTCCTTTTATAGATCTATATAGAAATCGGGATATTTTCTGAAATTGGATTTTATTAGGCTTTAGCTCATCGTGACTAATGTAAATGCATTGCTCATTTTCTTTTTATTTAATTAGCTGAATTGACACCAGATTTTTCAGTTTAAAATCAAGTTTTGCTAGGTAGCTACTGCCAATACGATGTATGAATTATGAAAATTGTTCCGCCCAACCTCCTCCCCAACTCTAGTGTCATTACAAAAATGTGACCCATTTTAGCAGCAGAATTAGCAAAAAGGCATTTCTTCTTCTGAAACAATAGCTTGGCTAGCGTAATGGATTTTTATCTATCTCCCATTCTCCATCTCATTAACCTCCCATAGAAGTTAATGCAATTTAGATTTTTATACAAGGGGATTTGACCAGTAAAGCTATATTTATTTAAGCCAAATCTAAGTGTTGTGTGCATGAAGGCTGTCTCTTCTGGAGATGTGCAGTCATATTCATTAAAGTGGATGGGTTCTCCATTCAAGGTTCACATTTGTATTAGTCTGCACATGCATTCTCCATAAATTTATGTAATCAGTGCAATTATGATGACTTACGGCAATCTTTTCATAATTTTAAGGGTAAATCTTGGCTCTCACTGGCACAATAATGTACCGAAAGATGGCCTCCCCCATTAGGAACATTGTTGATAAAAAGGGGAAAGGCATCACCAAATAAACTTTGCAAATTGGTGATTTACTCATAGTAGTTTTGAGAATGGAATTTTAACTCTGTGACTTTTGGTAAGTTTTCTATATGCTCAGTGTATATGCAATGGGGATACAGAGAGCACTTCACAGGGACCTTGAGAGGACTGAGTGAGTTTATATATGTTAATTCCTTACTACAGTGCCTGCAAATGATACATCCTCTTATCATTATTTTGTTCAAAAGTTCACTTACATCTTCTAACAAATGAAAACTGATCCTTGCCAGTGCTCTCAGATAATTAGATATTAAAATTCATCATTTACTACTGAAGGTTTTCTTTCCTTTTTATTTTCTAGTAATAGGTGGGAGGAATAAAGTAGTTACCTGAATGCCAAGTAAAAGAAAAAATAATTTACCTAAAATGCTGCTACCCTTGAGGCTAACAAAAAGAGATAAACTAATAAAACTGAATTGTCTCTTCTAAA